GAATTTTACAATAAATAATTGTAGAATTGTGAAGGGAGATGAAATGAGCATTAAAATTTGCTGTATGAACCGAAGAATTCTAAAAATGACGGCCAGGACTAGTTTTATTGGAATTGAACCTCTGGTTTCGCTTACTAGAATATTGCGTAATAACTGTATTTATAAGTTTTCATGTTATTGCTAATTTATCGATAAGTATTATTCACATTCTTAAAGTATCTTATCAAATAAATGATTCGACAATTATGGATACACGAACAACTTAAAAAAAACTTTATTGGTATCAAAACAAATACTATGTTACATAATAAGAGCTATAACACTATTGAGTAATGCACTACCGCTACCTAGGCTTACAACTAAGAACTATATATAGTGGTGGGGAGAAGTTGCTGATGCTGTAGTTCAAAACTAGGATAAATGGTGTCTAACAGTTGAAACAAAATAGCAAGCTAATTCGTTTCGTTTCTTTGCATTAAAATTCTTTTGCAATGTTTTTGAGATAAAAAGATCTATTTCAGCTATAATATGCCATCTATTTTTCTGAAAATCACATGGTTTTGAATTCTATGTAGTCTTTAAAGATTTTAAGGTAGAATTTAAAGTTTAAACACCAACTTACTCTACTCTGTATAAATAATTTATAAAGCAAAACATATTTATGTTAGGAATGTTTAAGATGTACATGCAGAACGAATGGTTTCTTAGACCTAATTTATTACTAACCTGAACTTCCTTTTTGAAATAGTTGTTAGTGAAGATGTTGATAAGGCTGAAGTTCCTTACAGTGTTAAACTCAAACACAAGTTCCACATATTTCTTTGAGAAAGAGTCATTCTTCCATCCAACCCATCCACTTCCTGCAACACATTATATGAAATATCATAATTTTGAAACGATTTATTTAGTTTTAAAGCATGTATTATTTGGCTAAAACTGAGCCAAATTAATTATATGATAATAAAGATGGTGGTTTTCAGTAGCATAAAAATTAGATAGAAAATATGATTCTTAAATGGACATTCAATTTTTTAAAAGCTTCCATTTTCAAACACAGTCCATTATCTTGGCTTTCTCTTAGACAGACGAATAACGTGGAGCACTCATACGAGACTTAAAAAACAGGAATTCGATGGTACGGCCAACTATACCGTCTACAAAACAGAAATCTAAACTTTCTATTGAAAACAAATTCTTGATTTACATGACAATACTCAAACCTATTTATACTTAGGGACTAGAACTGTGGGTGACGACAAGATTTTCTAACATCAAACGTATCCAATCCTTTCCGTCCAATGTCCTCTGAACAATCCTTCTATATAACCAACAAAACCATACACAATGATCTCAACATATCATTTGTCCTAGACTTTATCCCAGAAAAATTCTCAAAATTTCACCAGAGCCTTACGTATCATCCCAACCCCATTGCACAATTTCTTTCTAGCACCACTCATTCCTATAACCCTCCAAGGAGATTAAGACGGCAGTGGCCCCGCGACCTTTGTAGTATATGTATTAGAATTCAGGCAATGGCCAGATTCTTCACTCAAGACACGAGCCTATGTGGCTAAAGCGCTCTCGTCCAATTTCCACAGACTTTAGTTTCAGTGACGCGGTTGAGAGAGTAGCGCAGAGATTTCTTGGGGTCCCCTGGCTGATTTTATGTAAGCATGAGTGTGTTTTTATGTTTTTAATTTTATTTTCTATGGCCTTAAAATCCTATTTTGTCAGCTATCTGTTTTCAATTTTGAAGTCGTAATTTAGATTTTTCTATGAACTTTTTAAGTTGATTGTGTCCTTAATTTTAGTAATATTGAGTGCCGACCAGTCGATATATTTCATGTTTTTAATTTTTTATTTATTGTATATACCTTTTGATAATTATTTAGTTGTTATTTTGTTTATTGTATGTTTTCTGTATATGTTGTGAATATGTTGATACCTCACTATAATTATTGTCCAAGTAACAGATTGTTATATTACTGAATAAATAAATTAATAACGATATGAGGTCACTAATATGTATACATTCCAATTTATAATAACGTACAATAACAATGATTTACAATTGCCTGGTTTATTGACTAATTTATGTAGATAAAGCGTTATACAAACAGATTAAATCTGTAGACCGCAGAAAAATGCAATTGCTATCAATAAATTAACGTTGTCTACATCAAAATACAAACTAATTATAGATATTTCTTCAAAAAGTAAGATTTGGTTAATCTCATAGTAGATATCGACTAGAGAAATATTTTTTATCTTAAAATATTTATCAGCATCTGTCGACGAACTATTGACAATCAGCAGATGGACTGATAAGAATAATGAATCTAACATGGGGAAGAATAACTTCCAGTAATACTTTTTCCTGGGTTAATTCAATTACAATGGTTCGTTAAGGAAGAAATCATTTCAAGAAACCTTTTTCTGCATTTGCTTCAGATTGGCGTGATGGAGTTTAATACCGCTGGAATTGGCATCACTTAACAGAATCCCATACTCAAGAATTTTACATGGTCCTTCCCATTCCATTTAATTTAAAAAGAAATAAAAATTAAAAGATTTGACTGGAAAAATCTTCATGTTTAGATTTTAAATGTGTGGATATTTGTTCTATCCATTTTACGAGTGAAAACATGCCTATTAAGTAAATGTCACTACTGTGACATAATTTACTGTAAATATAATTTCCATATTATATTTATGAAAATTGTAAAAAACAAAACAAAAACAACTCCTATATATAGTTAGTTTAGAGATTAAAAACATTAAAAGTTTTTGCACAAATACTATTTCTATAATGATGATGAAATTAATTTGCAATGAAGACGCCATAATTTATGATGTTAATTCATTCGGTATTAAGATTGATTTCAGATCATTACACGTAACCAATGAAGTTGAATTTCTTATATTTTACACCTTAGATACCAAAAACTCATGTCAAATTTGTTGTTGAGGATAATCTTTTAAGGATTGGTTACAGTTTATAAAAGGACAGTAATGCTTATATTGTGTCGGATAAGTGTAAATTATTACTGAGCCTAAAGCAAAAGGGAAGCTGGTCCTCCCTCATGAAATTCAATAGCAGTTCTTGTAGGCCTTGGTGACGGCTTACATGGTCACTCATCATCCACCCTCAGTCCCTCCAAAATTCCACTATCTACCAGCTCTATTGTATCATCCATTAGTACAGTAAAACTTACTCATAGGTTGCAATAGGTTAAAAAATTTTGATTTTAAGATATGTTTTACGCATTTATCGTTAGCAAAATATAAGTTTTCGACCTCCCATCCCATTTTGTGGTGTTTTTTGCCATATTTAAAAAAATCTGGAAGAAAATACACTTTTTCATTTCTTCTGGAATCCCCTTACAGAGAATTTTAGATTAAAAGACTTCTTTACCAGTGGCAAAGCACATTAAATTGCTTTACAAGAAATTTAAGTCAATGGCAACTAATATGGATAAGAAGATGACGATTTGTAAATTGAGAATTTGCTATTCCGTTGTTATTCGAACGTGATTTTATTTTTATGAAAAAAAAAATATTTTTTTAATTTGTATGAGACGGCTTAATTATTGATAAGTTTAATCTTATTTTTATACAGTTAATGTGAGATATGCGGTCTAAATAAACACGATTTTGTCTCTTTCTATCTGATAATGCTTGATTTTGTAACATCTAGACTAGTTAGTAATTTATTATTATTTGAAATTCTTAGGGAATTGTTTTGGAATTTTCATATCTTAGTAGATACATAATTCGTACATACATGATTCGTACTGATTGTGAATGATTTTTAGAACTATTGTTATTTGTTCTCAACAAGCCTCATCATTAACTAATACAGTTTAAAGCTAATTTTTACATCGATTGTAAACTTTCTTACTATTTGTTAAGATACATAGTTAACAAATAAGTCTTAAGACTTAGCTGACATGACTATTATAATTATCTTAAGTAATTACATAAAGTTTTCCCATGTTTGCAAAACCTGACCAATTGTTGGGTTGGTGATGTATGAAATACATTAATCAATACATTTACTCATGAAATACATTAATCAATATAAAATATTAAAAAAAGAATGTAATACTTAATACTTTATTAGTTTTTTTAAATAAGCCTTTTAATATATCGAATGAGAACTATTGAAATTTAAGCTCCTGCACTGAAGGTTTCGAAGCTGTAGTATTTCATAGTGATAAGTTCTGTTAATATTTAAAGTATATTTGTATTTGAGTTGTTATTATTTTGATTAATTTAGTATTTTATATATATATATATATATATATATATATATATATATATATATATATATATATATATATATATATATATATAAGTTTTAGTGTTATTAGTTTGATGTTTACTTTATTTTTATTTATTGTACATAGAGTGTGAATGTGCTCTGTTATAAATGTCCTTAATTCAGACTGATTGCAATATTTCTTAATAAAGAAGATCTAAAAAAAAAAAAATCTATATATCTCAATCCTTCATTTTAGGTTTGTTTAATTTTTATTATATTTTTTAAGATCAATTTTTTTAATGTGCATCCTTAATTGTTACTTTTGCTTTTTATTATTATTATTATTTTATGCCTTTATACTGATATTTTACTTACATGTAATGACCTTGCATTACCTCTTTCTTCCGAAACTCGTTCAACGGTTTACTTTTTCCTTTCTTAATGAATATTAATCTCTTCGTGTTCTATATTATTTGAGTAATAATAATGAACCATTGATATCTTTACAAGGCTATTTTGCGTTAGGATATTCTAGTATTTCTTTAAAATTGATCTAAAATAATTTTCTCAATCTGTTTTATGTATATACATATAATATACACGATGTCTATTATAATTACATAAAGTTTATTAGATATATGGCATAAGCTGTTAGTTATATATAAGCTTAAATAATTGGACAAGAAGGACTTGTAATGGATTATTTGTTCAAGGTACCTTGAAGTCATATTTCCTAGTAAGCTAAAATATATATGTCCTTTTTTCTTTGTTTTTTTAAACCGAAACCATACGCGGCGGTAATGGCTATAATTCTTACACTACGCGGTACGTTTCCGCTGGGGGATTGTTTTTTCCTGTAAAAGTCCTGGGGTACGTCGCCGTGCCATAACTCAAACATTACCCGCATAGGGGGTGCGTCAGGGATCAAGAGAGAGGAAAGCATACGAAGGCGAAAATCATAAATATTTGATTTTGATCCTAACTCACCATCTAATGATTCTGAATACCGAGAAAGTTTACTTGCCTAGATTTTGTTTGATGAGGGGCCATGATAGAATTCCTGCTTTTAGTTCGCCGTCGAGTTAGCAAGACGAAGACTATTTACGACTCTTACCTGACAGGGGTGTTAAGAATTATATAACTTGCCGGTTTGCTGGAGCAAGAAATTTCCAGCCTTATCTTCTCGTTAGCTATGACCTTTTATAAAGTTTTAATAAGTTGGGGGGGAAGGGAGAGAGAGAGCGGAAGCAGGTTTCTTCGGAGAACGTAAACCTTAAAATATTCTGGTAAGCAGCAAAAACCTTTACTCCTAGCCTTAAAATATTATATCGCCACCGTTGAACGTATGTCATAAAGAGGGAGGCCACATAAAAAAGTTGCCTAGAAACATGAAAGGGTTGGTAAACGGACAGCTATCTAATATGGATATGGAGGTATATTAGTGCTGTAGGAAGTTTTATTAATAACTCATATTTCTTTGACAACAAAAACTAATAAAATTAGATTTACTAATACTTAACAGGATAACTTAATATTTCCAATAGACCTGACTACATTAATGCTATAAACGATACATGTTTAGTGCCTGAACTAAACTTCGATATAACAAATATGTATCGCCACTGTTAGGGCAAAAGGTCGTATATAAAGTTTGAGTTTTTCTACAAAAACACATAAAAACTTATTATTTCATTATGATGTATTAGTATAATTTCATATTTTATTTCCCTATACTATTTTACACAGCCTATTTATTGCAGTCACAGGTTATAAAATGTCGTCTTTAGCACAATTAGAATTAGCTTTGAAAATTGTTACATATTCCCTTTTACACTAACAGTAGCAATATATTACTTGAATAAAAATAAACGGATACCTACCACACAATATATTAAACTTTTAAGTAAACATAATAAAATTTAATGAGGCAAGATCAATTAATTATCCATAAAATCATTCAAATAATTAATCCAATTGGATAAATTCATGTAGACTAAATTTTTATTCGTCCATGAATATTAGATTATAACCATAATGCAAAAAGTCTGAAATTTTTCTGATGAATAGCTAAAAAAATATGGTGGGGACGGACCCACGTCACGAGAATATTATTAAATTTTAAAAAAAATTGTTTTTGTCTAGTATAATTTTTCAAATTAAACTGCTCTGCTTATTCGTTGTTCCAGATATTCGTTACTAGATTTACTATTCGAGAGGAAATTTTTATTTCCTTGTTTCACTTTACATGAATATAAAAGTATAATTTAATACAATTATGTAATATATATAAATGTACATTAAAAAAAATGAGTAATAATTCATTTTATTTTCTGTAGAATTATTTATTATTGTATGTATTTTTATTTCTATGGGGTGCTTTCAGATTACCATTTTCTTTTATTTGTTTTGATAAAGTTTGCTTTAGAGTGCTATTAAGAGCTCCTTTAATAAGTAACACCATATGGTGCAACGATTAAAAGCAGTCTTACCAGCGCTACGAATTATTCTTAAAGGAATTTCTAAATTATTCTCCTATTGCTGCAACATGCAGCGACATTTGGATGGCTAAACTCAGTTTATTTCAAAAGTTTCATTTAATATTCATGGCAACTGTTTTATGATTAAAAATAAACAGTTATATTTAGGACCTGAATTTCTTATTTTTACTTTTATGTCAAATCTTTTTATTTTATAGTTGTATAACTTATAACGCCAACTTCAGTTGAGATACATTAAAATTAAATAGAAAGATTATTTTGAATTAATTGTTAGTTAAAAACGAAAAATTTCGTTTTTCGTTTTATGTTCTCCAGCGAAATAACTACTTGGGGTCTTCAGTTTATGATAATGGTGGTGAAAAAGTATATTGGCCACTTTAAAATTTTAAGTGTTAACATTTCAAAAGATAAACGTCTAACTAAACCTTTCATCAATTAATGAATGTTTTGAGACTCTGGTGAATTTTGATACCACCTATTATTATATGAAATTGCAGTTCATTAATTTAATTTCCTTTAGAAGGGGTAGTTCTACTATACGATAATATAACGATGTTGGTAATGGTCGAACAGACATGATTACGAAAGGAAGAATCGAAATGTCCAAAGATGAAGTCATTCTTGACCATACTAAGATGACGATACTAGGTGACGGACGACGGAAAAAACTAAAGTCAATCTTAACCATAGTAGGTCTTAACATGACGAACAAAGCTGCCGACATTAATTAGGCATGGAAAACTGTTAATCCGTAATATCACATAAGTGATGAACTCAGTAAAAAATAACAGGTAATCATATTGTAGTATAACACAGGCCCACTAGTACAAAAATGCAGCATTAAATAAATCATTTTTCAGGAGATTACTCAAGTACGAAAGAAGACATTCATTATTACGCACTTTATTGGTGTCAGAGCTGAATTTTGACTATTTTAAATAATTTCACAGCACGAGTATAAAAAATCCTATTATATGGCCTTCTGACCTGTAATTGAAAAAAACATTAAGAAGTAGAGAAGAAAGCCAAAACTGTACAAGGCTTATACAAACATTTTCAAGGAGAGATGAATCTGGAAAGAATTAGAAACTTAATTTTTAGTTTTATCTATTATTTAAAATAAAATGGCACCATAGCGTTTGAATTTTTATTTCTCTCCAGATTTCAATCCACACTGGTCATGCATTTGACTGTAAGCAGATGAGCTGTTGTGAACTTGGAAAATGGCATGTTAGCCATGAGGAGGCCTTTGTTCTGGAAAGTTACTTGTCATTTCTAAAATATTTATAAAATTTAAATTGCCGTAGCATCTGGAAGTACGTTGAAAAATTTTTGCATTATGGAAAGAGGAAAACTATTTTTTTCTTGTGTTTCTTTTTTCTTATTATCCTCTGCCTTGCGACTTGTGGCATATTGGGATTTGGTTGTTCTATATGTACTCCCAAGCCTATTCTAACCAGGTTGGCAAAGTTAAGAATCCTTCCGTGGATCCGTGGCACCATTAACAAGGAAAATGTTTAGTAGAATTACCCACTGACTTATTTTGATTTACCTCTATAATTAGATATCATTTGAGCAGTACTCCGACAAATAAAACAAGTTTGTTGGTCTCTCACCCACATCTAGGATTACCTGGTGGCCCCGTCACCATGATGTAGGTTACATTCTTATTGATCAAGATAAATCCGATTTTATAGCTTGTTTTCAAACACTCTTTTCATGAACAATAAGCTTGTGGAATAAGCACTGTCAAATATAAATTTTCAATATTTAATTAGTATATAACATATGTGAGGAACCTAGTCCTCTGAGCCGCATGTGGGCCTACGTGACGTAGTTGCGGCCTCCAAATGTCTTTGTGTGTTATTTATTGATCTAGTGCTAGATGTAATTAATATTTAATTATTTAATAGACGAAAATTTAGAAATTAATAGAATTAAGTTGCATCTTTATATGTGGGTGTGTGAAAATAGCAACTGTGAAATATAAAGAATTGTTTAGGCCTCCATTAGCACTGCCTAACCTTACTGCGGCCTCTAATGATAAAAAGATTTCCCATTTATGGTATATAACTTAATATATTATCTTATCCGAGTTATAACTGGCGATGAGCGCGTTCAACACGTACTCATTTGCATACAGTGTAACTATGACATTAATTTTAAAAATAATAATGCATTAGAGAAAGAAAATATTAATAAGAGAACAAGCATATGGGTCTTAATCTCATGAGCCGGTTATAATCAATAAACGCATGACAATGAAGTGAGATATCACTTTGGGATCAACTTACCATGACCAAGGCCAATATCCATTTTGAAGTTGTCTCCTCCATAGATCCCATCGACTAACCTCCCTAAACCTTTCACGAGGAGCTCCTCTTCCTCTTCTCCGTCGTATGACACATCGGACAACTCCTTGCTGCTCCCTCGAGGAAGGCTGTAGCTTACCACACCTTCTATAAACAAAATAAAAACCTTTATGATGAAGAGCATCTTAGATTAAATTAAATATTTGATAGCCAAACATATAACTTTTATCGTAAAATATATTTAATTAATACTAATATATTTATTTTCTGCTGCATGGTTTCCGAACGCATTTTTCATTGCCACTTTCAATTTATTTTAGTGCACACAGTTTTGATACATAAATCAGGGATGTTCAAAAGAAGGTTGCAATGTTTGCAAACGAAAGTTTCTTAATTAGTTCGCCATGGAAATAATTATGGAAGGCACATTTTTGTGGGATTTTGAATACTTGACAGTGAGTTGGAGTTGTACATTTTTTAAGGGAACTTATAAAGGAGGGAAAGAGGAGAAACAAATGGAACAGATACAGCAATTGTAATTGTATTTGATCTGAAAAATTTCTAATTCTACTTCCACTTGCTCTCTAGCAATAATATGAAGAAAAATAAAATATGTTGGGTTGGGAGCATGGCCCATCACCTACTTCTAACTATTTGTTTCCAAGAAAGTAATTTGAAGGAATTGAAAGTAATCCAAAATAGTGATTACAAGCCTATTACTAAACAGATATTACTGTATTTTTCCAGATATGAAAAATTTGAAGAGTTAAATAAAAGTATATTGGTAATACCAATTCTCTACATATAGTAACTAAAATTGTCTAGTATTAATAACTATTTTGCCAAAAACTAATAACTATTCAGGCCAAGACCGGTTTTGGGCAAGACACTATTTGCAGCTTATCCACGCTTTGTCCTTCATTAACTTTCATGAAGAGACTTGAGACTTTTATTGAATGTTTTTAAGAGTCAATAGAGATGGGGAAGTTACTAAAAATTTAAACCAAATTTTGACTGGAATGGAACTGCTATTGGATTTGGCATATAACTAATGCAAGACGGGTCGTAGCGAAATCTTGTATTCCCTGGTTGAGGAATCGCCTGATTTATTTTTCATGTAATATGAGGAGATTGGGTTCTTGCTCTATCTTTGGAGGGCGAGGTTTTATTGGTACCCACGTGGACTAGCACGTGGGGCAACAGAGGTCGCCTTCGACCCAAGGCCTCTTCCGCCTACCTTGGCCTGATAATTCTCAAGGTTGGGCTTCTGGTCTCCGACAGTCATCCCTGCGTAATTTGTCCAAATATTGCAATATCTAGATGTATTTTCTTTTTCTCTACACCAAAAATGTAATTGAAGTCAAATAATTTCGCTGGTATAGATCAATCACTACAATATTTTGTTATAAAAAAATAATTAAAAACTGGTTATTAGCACAATTCAAACACGCTTTATATGAGCCTAAACAAATATATTAATTTTTTCTGTTCATTTTTCCTACTTTTGGTGTCTTGAAGTTTTTTATTTTTTACAATAAATTAGGCCAATTTTCACCAACATTTTATTGATACGCATTAATTTGACGTTTCGACCATACTAAGGGTCATTTTCAAAAATTGATGAGTTCTCCGTTATATGTTCATCATTAATGTTGTAATTAATATGTTCAGTGAACATTAACTTGTCATGTTATATAGGGGCTTCGCCCACGTCATTTCTGGACAGAAGTCATTTCTGGACGTTATATGTTCATTAATGATGAACATATAACGGAGGACTCATCAAGTACAATAATTCATTGTAATCAATAAACATCTTAGTAATATGTTCTTTTCTTATGTTCTTTTTCTTGTTCTTATGTTATGTTATGTTTTATGTTATTTTCTTATATTCCGTTTGTTGGTGAGGAAGTGCATGACAGCTTCTGGTGTAGGAAATCTCCTTATGTTAGAAATATTCACATGGTATAATGGATAAACATATTAACATAGACATTTTGAGAAAAGCTTGAAATAAATTCCGGAAAATCTGAGCTGAAAAATAAATTTACGTTATCAGGCGCTCATGACCCCCAAAACTCTGCCATGTTAGTCAAGGAATGATTATTTTATAAGCGTCCTAAAATTATAAAATTTTCACTACAGTCTCGACATCTTAAAGTGATAGTGAACACCTGTGGGCAAAATTGGAAGTGGAAACGAGAAAACACGAAATTTCTTGCCAAGAAGAATTAAAAAAATATCTTTTCCAAGAGGAGAACAGCCTAAGCCCAGAATTTACCCAGAAATTAGTCGACTCCATTATAAACAACTTAAAGAAGTGGCAGAAAAAATGGCTTGCCATTTTTTTTTTTAATATTTTTTTATTTATCTTTTTAATTGTTCTTATTTATTTTCTTTTCATGTGCTTATGTGGTATGAAATAACACAGTAGCCTTAGTACTTATTTACCTTCGATATGGCAGATGTATAACCTTTCATTTAACTTAAACGTGTTATTCGAAGTGAAAATTTTATAACTTTATGACGCTTATCAAATAATCATTCCTTGACTAACATGGCAGAGTTTTTGGGGTCATGAGCGCCTGGTAATCGTAAATTTATTTTTCAGTTCAGATTTTCCGGAATTTATTTCAAGTTTTTCTCAAAATGTCTATGTTAATATGTTTATTCATTATACCACGTGAATATTTCTAACATAAGGAGAAGATTTCCTACACCAGAAGCTGCCATGCACTTCCTCACCAACAACCGGAATATAAGAAAATAACATAAAACATAACATAAGAACAAGAAAAAGAACATAAGAAAAGAACATATTACTAAGATGTTTATTGATTACAATAAATTATTGTTTTCAATGTAATATAAATTGAACTATTTATTTATTAAAAAATTACTATCGATATTCAGTAAGTATAGGAGGAAGTATCATTTTAACTGTGAGCCACTGTTTGTACGGTGTTATTAAATGACTTTTACAAAATGTTGGTTTGAAATGTGATTTTTTTAAAATTTTTTTTTTACGATGTATTTCTACACTAACGAAATAACGGGCATTCACTATATATCAACTATATAAAGCTAGTAAAAAATGATATCAAATTTGTGGTATTATGTATATTGGGCTAACATTTCATCAGCCTAATTCTGGTACAGCCAGCGTGATTTGAAATTATAATATTAACAAAGATAACCCTTTTCTTAGATACCATGATAGACCGAACCTTGATTTCAACAAAAATTTTATATTTCTATAATTTGAGTTTCTTAGAATATTATTTTGTTTAATTACCTCAAGTTGATTTTAACGGAAATATTTTTCGATGGTATTCTGTAAGTTAATTAAATTATATCAACAATAAAAAAGCCGTTAAGGGCTTGTTTTAATTCTGTGCTTGTTGGAATTGCCTCGTTGATGAATTCCTTGACAGTGGACTAGGGTTCCACTAAATCTGGCGCGCAGATTTTCTTCTAATTACAAGGAGGCAATAAAACCTGCGGAGCTGCTCCTTTAGTGGCTATTAACAACCATAAGCTACCCTTCACCCTCCTTAGCTCCCCTTCTGTTTTTAAGGGCGTCCCTTAATTAAATAATAGTCACCCACCGGGAGAGGGGGGCCGACTCGAACGCTGAATTTGTGTCACTGCTGTCCGAATTAAAGCCACCCCAGCTAATATTTGTGTTTTCAGTTTGTCGCCTTTTAACTTCTCTCTCTCTCTTTCTCTATCTCCCTCAGCTTAGCTATCTTTTCCCCTTCAATTTCCCTCTTCGTTTGTTTTCCATAAAGCCCATCTAATTGCCATGGAAGTGAGCCCTCTTCCCCAGTTCTGGTAATATACTTGGCTCACCCTCTCAACAATAGCTCAAGTCTGAGAATCGAATTATCTATCTGGATTTCCCAACAACATTACTTTATCTCTCTTTCTCTATCTCTCAATTCTTGTAATCAGGATCATAGACCGTGTTGAGAACAGATTTGGTAGTTTGATAATTCAAGTGAATCTATATAACTACCTTTTTTCGACTATAAATGTCTTTTTATTATGTACTTGTAGAAAAAGTTTTTTTATTTACCTTCTAATCGTTAAAAAATCACTCTCTGTAATCTTATTTCCTTAAATGATCGTTAACTTATTGTTATTTTTTCTTCTGTTTTACGACAAGCATTAATACCTAAATGAACTAAGTAAAAGGAATTCACCGATGCAATCATTGTTGCAAAGTTCTTCTAAAGAGGGCGGATTTAGTGGTATAAGAAATGATAAATTACATAAAGGCCTAGATATCAAACCATCTATAAAACATAAAATAAGAGGTAAAAAAATAAAATGATAAATTTATGGCTTCTTAATTGAAAATATTTTGTTTTGATGTGAAGGGAGACCAGAAAATGTTTACCACTTTTCTTGATTCTCTCCAACCAACATATATACTCTTTCTTTCTCTTGTTTTAGGTCTAATAATGACTACATGCTTAGATCAAAACGTTGACAGACTTAATAAATACCATTAATAACCAAATTTCCATATCTATAATTTTAACAGTCATCTTTTTTTTTTGGTTCCTCCCGTTCCTCGCCTTTAAGGATTTATAGGGTTTTCCAGGGCCAGAGGATATGGGCTGGGGATTTAAAAGACTCCCCCGGGCACCGGGAGGCGAACTCATGACTATTTTAAATCCATTGTCTCATAGATCAGGTTGCAGGGCAACGGCGGTGCTATGCACACACGTTAATCCATTCGGCCACCCCGCCCACGTTTTTCAACATTCAACTATTTATCTATCTCTAAAAACTATTTTATGATATTCACAATTCATTTAAACTTTCCATATTTGGAGAAGGGTGGAGGGTCCTTTCCGGATGAGGGAGGAACTGAATTGAAAAGTAGCTTGTTGTTCTAAGGAGGGTGGGGGTGGCAGAGGATGGTGGGGGGGGGTTCCCTTCTTCAGGACGGGATTTATAGAGCAGCTGAGCCCTAGCGCCATCTAATTGCTGCCAGAGCCGAGAACCTATTTGATTGAACCAGTTCCAGCACGCGACCATTTCAAATTCTACTTTAACTCTTCTTTATCTCAGCCGGCGTGTCGCTCACAGTACTGAAACTGCAAACTCTAGACTTTTTTTGCCATTAATAATATCTAGGTCATCATTTCAACGTTGTTGCTATCGCTGGGTATTTTTAAAATGCTAAAATATTGTTCATGAAACTTGCCTTTCTATTTACCACAACAATACCCAAATTCCTTAAACAGATGCAATGAATTGGACCGACGTTTGACAGAAGGATGACATCGAGACCAGTTATACACACACACACACACACACACATATATATATATATATATATATATATATATATATATATATATATATATATATATATATAAGTATGAAAAACATTAAACCTCCATGTAATATTATTCTCAATTCTTATACTTTTTATTCTACTGTTACACTCACTGATTTAAAAAAGTTAAAAATTGACATTTAATTAGAAACTGCCACATGTTAAAGTGAAACGGATGACCCTCAATAGACGACTCAAACTACTTTACTCACTTCTTTCTAAATCTTCAAAACTATAGCTGAGACAGAAACTAATTACATACCTATACTTACTTTAAACGATATGGACTTACTTCTCACAGATATACGTTACTGCTAAAAAGGCCCACTTTCACAAACTTCAAACTTTCCCGCAAAAAAATATTACGAATTATAATTAAAGCACCTTGTTACGTGACAAACAAAACCTTACATACCGATTTCCTCCTGCCTACAGTTGACCAACACATAAGAAATCTTTACGAACGATTTCACAATAATTTATACGGACATACTAACCTACTAATTAGATATATAGCTTCAGCTGACCGCAATACGAGGAGAAGACTAAAAAGGCGCTGTATGAGAGACCTTCTTCCTTAACATGGAAATTGATTCAAGCCTTGGAAGAGCTTTTTATCGGTACTATCATTCCCCATGCATGACATGTCAGTTTCTTTACTTTAATCAGACTATCTGCTGATTGTCAACAGTCGTCGACAGGTGCAGATTGATATTGAAAGAAAGAAACTGAACACTTACTTTTTTTTTTTTACTTCCTGTAATGATTTACACCTGTTGACAATCAGCATATGTTCTGATGAAAATAATTAAAATGACATGTCATGCAAATGTTTCTTTAAGGGAGAAGATGTCCATCCATTGCATTTTAAGTCTCCTATTAAGGAACATCACCTTAATTCACATCTCTTATGTTAGTTTGCCCGTGTAAAT